TTTGGACAGGATATCATGTCTGCATCTTATACTATGAATAACTACTATGAAGACAATATGCAATGTATTAATTACTGTAACTGTCCTACTATCCTGTTTTGAAACTGTCTCATTACTATTTCTCAATAAAATTAATAAAATAAAATGTGTTGGGGAGGCAGGTAGATGGCTCAGTGGAATAAGTGCTTCCCTGGCAAGTACAAGGGCCTGAGTTCAATCACCGGTTCCGCAAAAAAAAAAAAAAAAAAAAAAAATCGTGTTAGGGATATAGTTCATTGCAAGGATCTTGGGTTCAATCCCAATACCACCAAAAAGGTTTTAGGGGAGCACAGATGTGCATATCAATGTTACAGCACTTGCTTGTCTGGCATGTCAAACACTCTAGGCTGAAGACGCAATAACTGTAACTGATTACAATTAATATTCCTTAGAGGGTGTTTTAGCTCAGTGACAGAAGGGCCTGCCTGGCAAGAGCAAGGTCCTGAGTTTGCTTCTCATTACAAAAAAAAAAAAAAAAGGGACCAGTAACATTATACAAATTTTAAGGGACGTGTATCTGGATAAAAGAATAAAAAACAGGGGCCAGGGAGATGGATCAGTAGAATAAGTGCTTCCCTGGCAAGCACAAGGGTCTGAGTTCAATCCCTGGTTTTGTAAAAAAAAAAAAAAAAAAAAAAAAAAGAGGGCTGGTGAGATGGCTCAGTGGTCTAAAGCACCTACTTAGAACAAGCTAAGCTAAGCAAAGCACAGGGACCGCGGTTCAATCCCCCAGCACCACATGCCAGCCAGCCCCGCCCCCTGGTGGGCTGAGCTGGCCACACACACACACACACACACACAAAAATAAATAAAATTAAAAAAAAAAAAAAGAATAAAAGACAAACAACTGCACTGTATAAAGCTAACCACCGAGGCTAGGGAGACGGCTCAGTAGAAAAAGTGCTTGCCTGGCAAGCGCAAAGGCCTGAGTTCAATCCCTGGTTCTGCGTTTAAAAAAAAACAACAACACTAACCACCACCTTTCTATCTGCTCCAATAAATCTTTGGCTTTGTGTTAAGAAACGGACTCAAACAAGTAGTTCGAGGCCAAGGGTGGTGGTGCACACCTGCAATCCCAGCATCAGGGAGACTGAAGTAGGACCACAGCATTGCCAGCCAGCATAAAGTACACAGCAAGACCCTATCCCAAAAAACTAAAAAAGAAAAGGTTTGAGAAGCAATGGTGTAGGATATTTTAAGGATACACTGGGGCCAGGGAGATAGCTCAGTAGAATAAGCACTTGCCTGGCAAGCGCAAGGCCCTGAGTTCAATCCCTAGTTCCAGAAAAAAAAGAAAAAAAAAAAAAGGATGCACTGCCCAACAGTACTGAGATAAACAAACAGTCAAGAACGTGAACTAAGTACCTCTTCCCTTCAGTAGACCACGTTATTAGCTACTCCTTGTTGTTTTGTTTTTTTTTTTTTTTTGGGGGGGGGCAGAACCGGGTATTTAACTCAGGCCCTTGTATTTGCCAGGGAAGCGCATATTCTACTGAGCCATCTCCCCGGCCCCTATTAGCTACTCCTGAGATAAACCTAATTTTAAAAAGGAAACTTAGGGGGATGGGGAGATAGCTCAGCAGAATAAGTGCTTCCCTGGCAAACACAAGGGCCTGAGTTCAATCCCTGGTTCTGCAAAAAAAAAAGTAAACGTAGTACTACTAATAAACACAATTTGAATGTGGAATCTTTTACTTGCTGAAATAATACAGCTTAGATCTAGGGCTTTCATACAAAAGAAATAAAAAACAGAAGCAGAGATATAGCTCAATGGCACAACACCTGCACAGCAAGCATGAGGTCCTGGGTGCAATTCCCAGTGCTGAAAAAGGGGGGAGGGGCATATAGCTCAGCAGATTAAAGCATCTGCAAGCAAGGGCAGGGGCAGGGGCCAGGGACCCGGCCCCCCGCCCCAGCAGTGCTGGCCCCACCCCCAGGACACACTGAGATGGCAATTGAGACTGGGCGTGGTGGTGCGTAATCCCATCTCTTGGGAGGCTGTAAACAGGCGGATCACCACAAGTGTGATCTAGCAGTAAGACCCTGAACATCCTGTGGACTCTTGAGAGAGAAAAAGGTTTTGCAAATACAATAATGGTCAATTTTATTCAAGTTCCAATAATGAGTTCAGAGCACTTCCCCCAAGCTCTATTAATTCCTAGAGGTTTCTAGGAGTATCATTAAATCTCCCAGCATCCCTAGGAAGCAGGTGCTTGGCAAATATCCAGTTTACAAATGAGATACAGAACTTGTTCCTGAAAGTGAAATATTTCTGCCTTGTCCTACTGGTTCAGATTATCAGACCCAAACTCTTTTCCCCTCTGTACATCCCTAAAAGCCAGAAAGGTCAGAGGTGTCATTATCCCTTTTGGCACTGATTCCAGCTGTGGACAAAATGCACTAGAAAATGCACTTAAGGGGCTGGCGAGATGGTTCAGTGGTCTAAAGCACCTACTTGGAACAAGCTTGGCAAAGCACAGGGACCGCGGTTCAATCCCCCAGCACCACATGCCAGCCAGCCTCGCCCCCTGGTGGGCTGAGCTGGCCACACACACACACACACACACACACAATATAAATAAATAAATGTTAAAAAAAGAAAATGCACTTAAGGGCTTTTTTCCAGTATAGAGAAAAAACAAGCAAGCACACCTAGCTAGAATCCTTTTTTTTTTTTTTTTTTTTTGAACTAGGGATTGAACTCAGGCCTTTGCACTTGCCAGGCAAGCACTTATTCTACTGAGCTATCTCCCTGGCCCCCCTAGCTAGAATCTTAAAGGAAGCAAAACCCCAGGAACCTGGAATCCTGTGAATAACAAAAGATACACAAGAGGATTCCTTTCCAGTTTGAATCCAGCATCAGACAACCTAAGAGTCCATGCAGAGTCCACCTCCAGAGCAAGGGAAAGAGAACAGAGAACTGGTGCTAGTCATTCAATAAGCAGAATATCTGGGCATGGGGCAAACCAGGATAGATAATTCTTTTTTCCAGAAAGATAAGATAAACATGAAAGGCTATGTGTAGGTACCCCTTTAGGAAAGGATACAAGGGGAAGAAGTTTAGAAGTTTTAACTACAAAAGTGTACTCAGCAAAAGGTGACAGAAGCAAACTAGGCATGGTGGACCACACCTGTAATCCCAGCACTTGGGAGGCTGAGACATGAGGAACAGCATGAGTTTAAGGCCAGCCTGAACTACATAAGGAAAAAAAAAGAAAGAAAGAAAGAAAGAAAGAAAGAAAGAAAGAAAGAAAAGAGAAAGAGAAAAAGATAACAGAAGCAGAAAGTGCTGTGCTGAACAAAGATAAGCACTCACTATAAAAAAAAAAAAAAAGTGAGATGGATAAACTGACAGGACTGGGAGAATACCTAAAAGGGAATATAGTTCCAAAAAGAAGGAAACTGAGTAATGAAAATGTTTTCAGTGGCAGAAAAGTTAAAATGGGTAGGAATACACATTCGTGAACAGAACTCTAGTGGGGTTGAGTGACACATCCCTGTAATCCCAACATTCTGGAGGCAGAAAAATCACTACCAGCTTGACGCCAGTCTGGGCTGCTAAGGGGAGGAGCAGTAAGGGTAGCAGCAGGAGCATCAAGAAGGTAGCTACCAAAAAAAAAAAAAAAAAGAAGGTAGCTACCCTACTACAGTTGAGCATTTCATACTCCAAGAAAAGCATTTAGTACATTTAATGGGAACAGGAAGTAAATACACTCTCAAAAAAAAAGTCTTCCCCCAGGACACAAGGTAGTTTGGGGAACTCATCAAAGGATGCAGCCCGCGGATAGCAAGACTGGAAAACACATTGAAATAGCTGGGCATGGTTGTGCACCCCTGTAAATCCCAGCACTGGAGAGGCTGGGAGAGGAAGATCATTGCAAGTTTGAGACTCTCTTGGACTACAAAATGAACTCACGGCCAGCCTGAACTGCATATGCATAGCCAAACCCTGTTTCAAAAAGACAAAAAACCCACAAGACCCTGAATTAGCCAGGCATGGTGGCCCACTCCTGTAAGCCCAGCACTAGGGTGGCTGAGACAGAGGATCAGTTCCAGGTTAGAGGCCGGGGAGATGGCTCAGAATAAGCACTTCCCTGGCAAGAGCGAGGGTCTAAGTTCAATACCCGGTTCCGCAAAAAAAAAAGGAGATCCAGGTTAGCCTGGCCTAGACAGCAAGACCCTGTCTCAAAGAAACAACACCCCTCCAAAAAAAAAAAGGCAGTAAATCCCCTATTCAACCGAGAATATGTGTCCATAAAAGTCAAGTTTGTAGCTCCTTTTTAGTAGATCCCAGATTTGAAGGCTAAAATGAAAATGCCTTTTAAATTTACAAAATTCTGGGAGCCCGGGGAGATGGCTCAGTGGAATAAGCGCTTCCCTGGCAAGTACAAGGGCCTGAGTTCAATCCCCCGTTCCAAAAAAAAAAAAAAAAAAAAATTATTTACAAAATTCTGGAAACGCGTCCTCAGATTTGGAAATTGGAAAACGCATTCTTCCTTGAAGTTGTGAAGATGTAATAAACTACCCAAAAACTTTCGGTCACTAGACCTCATAGTTCCGAGACCTGTTAACAAGGAACCCCCCCAAATTGCAAAAGTAGTATTCAGACTGCAGACTTGAAAAACGGCGTGTTCCCAGTTTGGGGGAGCAAGAGAAACGGAGTACACCCACAATTAGGGGTGGATTTAGAAAGAGAAAATCACAAGGGTTACAGTTTAAGAAAGGGGGTGCGTCGTCCAGATTTTCAAAACTGTAAATGGGCACTCCCACATTCGGGGTCTTGAAAAAGGGGTGTGCTCCCCAGAATAGGATACAAGGTAATGAAACAAACCGCAGTACCAAAGCGGAAGGCGACAGCAAGAGCTAGAGATAAGGCTCTCGGGGGTCACACAGCACGAGTCCGGCGCTGGCGCTCAACACTCCCACCCCCAATACCGCCCGCTCGCGCCCCAGGCCCATACCTCAGGGCCCAGCCCCCTCGAGCGGTGCTGATTGGCCGTAGCCGCCGTCACTCCCATGGGAAGCCCTCGGGATTGGGCGGAGTTCGCACGCCCGCCACGCTCTCAGCAGCGGTCCCTGGGCCTCCCTCCGGGCTGGGCGAACGGGGCCAGACAGAGAGAGCGGAGCTGGGCAGGGGACAAGGGCTGCGGTGGCGTCCGTCACCGTTCCCTCCCGTACGGCGCGCGCTTAGCGCTGGCCTTTCCCAACCCGGCCCCAGCCAGCCTGCTTCGCCGCGCCTCGCCGCGCCTCGCCGCGAGCTCACCTCACGGCCCCGCTCCTGCTGCGCCGCTCCAGGACCAACCGACAGAAGGACTCTGCGTGCTGCGCACCACGTGACCCCAGGGACGCGCCCAGCGTATCCCCCGCCCCCCACACACGCACCATCGCCACCACTGGGTGACGCAGCGCCCCGGAGGCCCCGCCCCCGGCCCCGCCCCACCAGATCACCCGGGCGACGGCTCTCGCAGATCACGCCCCCTGGCTTGAGGCGCGGGAACCAGGCCTGCTCAGTGTCCCGAGCGCGAAGTCTACCCATCTATAACCAGAGATGGGGCGAAGCCCGGGACCGGTTACTGTCCATCCGCTGTTAATTTTGCTTCTTAATTACACCTCGAAGACTCCCATTCGCCTAGGCCACAATCGTCTCTCTCCAAGATGACAGTAGTCTCCACCCCTCTGCTCTAACCCTTCTAAATCATTCTTCATACAGTCAGGGCTTTTCAAAATGCCATCCCCCTGCTCAAAGGCTGCTTGTCCCTTCTCTCCAAATTAAGATATGAATCTTACTCTTATTTACTAGGCTCTTCAAAATCAGGATTTAACTTGCCTCTTTCTCAGTCTTACACATCCAGCTATCCTACATTCTTAGCTTCCCTCATCTTGTTAAGTGAGCCAGATTTCTTCTCACCTCCGGGCCTTTAATCTTATCCCTCCTACACTCAGGCATTATCTCCTAGGAAAGAAAGGATCCCAACTGCTACTGAGAAAAAGTTCTATTTTATCTCTAGGGACCAAGGTCCAAGTTACAGCCACCAGAGAAGAGTCTGAGATGTTTTCTCAATGGAATAGGCAAGAGCCAAGGAGGAATGCTAAAATTTGCTGTCTATGCAGGCACTAACGACTATTTTGCACTGGAAAAGAGGGCAGCCATATTGTACTCTTTCTTTTTTTGGTCTTTTTGAGACAGGATCTGGCTACGCAGTGCAGGCTGGCCTTGAACTCACTTTGGTTTTTGTTGTTGTTGTTGTTGTTGTTGTTGTTGTTGTTGTTGTTGTTGTTGAACCAGGGATTGAACTCAGGCCCTTGCACTTGACAGGCAAGCGCTTATTCTACTGAGCCATCTCCCCAGCCCCTTGAGCTCACTTTGTAGCCCAGGCTGGTCTCCCACTCACATTGATCCTGCCTTAGCCTCCCAGGTGGTGGGATTACAGGCTTTTTTTTTTTTTTTTTTTTCCTTCTTCTTCTTCTTTGCGGAACTGAGGATTGAACTCTTTTTTTGTTTTGGTTTGGTTTGGTTTTTTGACAGAACTGGGGATTGAACTCAGGCCCTTGCACTTGCCAGGCAAGCACTTATTCTACTGAGCTATCTCCCTAGCCCCTTCTATACTCTTTAAATATTTTACATTAGATGTAAATCTAATCATGTCGCAACTTAAAACAACCCATCAATCAATCTCCATCAGCATCCTACTCATTGCTTATCTCTGGCCACACTATCTCTCTCTGTCAGTTTCTATGTGTATTTCCAAGTGCAAGCCACTGGGCTATTGGATAGGCTGCAGCTATTTATAACACGGACTCTTCATCGTATAATCAAGTCTCAGATTGTCATCTCCTGAGGTCCTCTCTTACATTATCTAAAAGCCAGATTACACAGCCCCGCCATAGCAATCGCTCCCTCACTTATATATGACCATTTTCAACAGAGCACTTCAGCATTTTATACCTTTTTTTTCCAGTTCTAGAGACTGGGAAATCTAGTGAGAGTTTTCTCACTATGCTATAATGTGGTGGAAGGCCAGACAGAGCACAGTTGCCAGAGAGAAGTGACTTCCTTTGTTTTTTGTTTTTTTTTTTTTTTCTTTTTTTGGCGGAACTGGGGATTGAACTCTGTCCCTTGCACTTGCCAGGCAAGCGCTTATTCTACTGAGCCATCTCCCCTGCCCCAACATTTTATACCTTTTGTAGTTCATGTTTGTTTATTTATTTATTTATTTATTTATTGTCTTTTTGAGACAAGGTCTCACTATGCAATTGAGGTTGGTTTTGTAGCCCAGGCTGGTCTCGAACTCACAACAATGCTCCTGCCTCAGCCTCTCTCATGTTTTTATTCTCTTAAATGGTTTGCAAAGGTTAGATGCCAGGGACATAACTTAGTAGCACAGTGCCTGTCTGGCAAGTCCCGAGTTTGATTCCCAATACCAAGAAAGAAAAAAGCAGGGGTAATCTAACCAAGTACATGTATAAACATGTATATGCCAATACAAAAAGCCACTGTTTTGTATACTTTTTTTTTATTTTATTTTTTTTTTTTTTCAGACAGAGTCTCTATGCAGCTTAGGCTGGCCTTGAGCTAACTTTGTAGCCCAGGTTGGTTTCAAACTATCAGTGATCCTCCTGCCTCAGCATTCTGAGGGCTGGGATTATAGGCACATGCCACCATTCCTGAATTTTGTTTTTTGTTTTTTCGGGACCGGAGATTGAACCCAGGACCCTGCGCTTACCAGGGAAGCGCTTATTCCACTGAGCCACCTCCCTGGCCCCTCCTGAATATTTTTTTTAAAAAAAGAAATGGTTCTTTAATATTGGGAGTGTAGCTCATGAGTAGGGTATGTGCTTACCATGCTTAAGGTCATAGTCAGTACACAAAACTGCCGGCGAAGAGGGGGGAATGATTCCCCTGTGTGAATGTTGTAGTTTGGGGTCTTGCAAGGGAAACAATACAATGCTGGACACATACTTTATAACATTTTATAATAATCACTCAAAAACTCATATACAGGGGCCAGGGAGTTAGCTCAGTAGAATAAGCATTTGCCTGGCAAGCTCAAGGGCCTGAGTTTAATCCCTGGTTCTGCAAAAAAAAAAAAAAAAGACTCATATATAAAGAATGCAGGAAACCTATCCACATACTAAATACCAAAGAATCCAGGTGAGGACCCGGATCCCACAGTAATGTCCTACATAAGCTCACTTTGTAGCCCAGGCTGGTCTCGAACTTGCAATTATCCTCCTGCCTCAGACTTACAAGTGCTGGGATTTCAGGCATGTACCACCAATCCTGGCATGGTTTTGTTGAGCAATGTCTAACTGTGTAGTTCAAGTTGACCTCAAAACTTATGGCAGGGGCTGGTGAGATGGCTCAGTGGTCTAAAGCACCTACTTAGAACAAGTTTAGCCAAAACAAAGGGACCGCGGTTCAATCCCCCAGCACCACATGCCAGCCAGCCCCGCCCCCTGGTGGGCTGAGCTGGCCACACACACACACACACACACACACAAATAAATTAATTAATTAAAAAAAAAAAAAACTTATGGCAGTTCTCCAGCCTCAGCTTCCTAAGTGGTGAGATTACTTACAAAATATGCTACAGGAAAAAAAAATATATATATATGCTACAGGGGCCCGGGATTGAACTCAGGTCCCTATGCTTGCCAGGCAAGTGCTTATTCTACTGAGCTCTCTCCCCAGCCCCAATACTGTATCTTAAAACAGTAAAAAAGAAAAGAAAAAAAACAATAAAGAGGGCTGGAGTAGAGTGCTTGACTAGCATGATCAAAAAAAACTTACCATAAAAAAAGACTCAAATGTTAGAATTTTTGCTCCTCAACACAATGTCAAAAATCCCAAATTCTCTATCTCCAAGCAAATATAACTAATGCACTTTTCTTACTCAACCTATGTATATTGAGTTGAGTTATCCTAGACACTGAAGACCAGAAGCAGAGATTTAAGCCCTATTCTCCAGAAGCTGACATGGTATGGTGGTACACACCAATACTTGCAAGACAGGCAGGAAGATTGTTGAGAGTTTGAGACCAACCTGGGCTACAAAGTGAGTACAAGGGGTCAGGGAGATGGCTCAGTGGAATAAGCACTTCCCTGGCAAGCATAAGGGCCTGAGTTCAATCCCTAGGTACACCAAAAAAACCCAAAAAAAAACAACAAAGTGAGTTCAAGTCCAACTTGTATTGCACAGTGAAACTCCCACTCAAGGGGGAGGGGGGAAGCTAACAGTTAAAAAAAAAAATTGTCACACTCTGTAACTTAAAATTCTTCTGACTGTTTGAAGTGCAAGCATGGACACTGTTGCAAATCCTGGCAAAAGAGAATTATAATACAATGTTATCAGTAGCCCTGAGCAGGAAGAGGACAGATTGGGAAAAGAAGGAGGCACAAGGACAGCTCAAGCCACAGGCAGCTGCAGCTGGCAGCACTACATACAACAGCTGGAACTCTGTCCTGCCACCCCTTTGTCTGAGTCACAAGCATGCAGAGGCAAAGTCTTGGCCAGCAGCCACTGTTGATTGGCCAATTTCAAGTCACATGAATGAGTATAGGTTGCCAGTAGAGGGTGGTGAGGAATGAGGTGTCCTTAAGGAGATGGAGGGGCCGGGGAGATGGCTCAGTGGAATAAATACTTCCCTGGCAAGCACAAGGGCCTGAGTTCAATCCCTAGCTCTGCATTAAAAAAAAAAAAAAAAAAAAAAAAAATTCTGATGTAGGGGCCAGTGAGCTAGCTTAGCAGACTAAAGTGCCTGCTTAGGCGAGCTTAGGCAAGCACAGGGACCAAGGTTCTATCCCCAGCACCACATGCTGCACCAGTCCCTTCCCAGGGCGGGCTGAGCTGGCCAGAGTCCGGGCATGGTCATACATGCCTGTAATGCCAGCACTGGGAAAGATGAAAGCAGGAGGATCACCACTAATCCAAGCTGCAGGATGAGACCCTGCAACAACCAAATACATTACCAAAAAAAAAAAAAAGTTCTGATGTAAAGAATACAGTTTTGGGGGCCTGCCCCTTAGCTCAGTTCTTAGGGCCGGGGAGATGGCTCAGTGGAATAAGTGCTTCCCTGGCAAGCACAAGGGCCTGAGTTCAATCCCTGGTTCCACCAAAAAAAAAAAAAAAAAAAAAAAATTTTGGCTGAGGAGATAGCTCAGTAGAATAAGCGACTGCCTGCCAAGCGCAGGGACCTGA